GCTCTATCCACGACTAAAGAGATTGACTCAGTCGAGATTGAACTTCCCGTCGTCGTCCGCGCGACTTTGCAGAATTCGCGCGAAATAGAAAGGACGAGGGCACATCTCGTAGCGAGCGTGGCTACGTGACGATGATTTTTGCCGGGTAAATCTCCTTCGTCGAACCAGGCGAAAACCAAGTGAACTCTTCGACTTTTCACTCGGCGCGGTATAGCACGTGATAGAAGGACGACGACGCAGTGGAGTCGCGAATTACGGGACTGACCAATAACGAATGACGATTGCAAAATAACAACGGAATATTTCTCGGTACGTTGCGCGTCAAATTAATACGCGGAACGTTGGATAATTGTTTAAACACCGCGCGGTTATTAAAGAGCGAGGATAAACGCGGGTTGATGGAGTTTGAAAATAATTACGAGCTCGATGAAGACGGCGGCAGTGGTCGACGCGTGTGACGCTTCGCCGTACGCGCGTAATTAAATCAACAATTACAGGGCAGGGGATTTTCGAAATTGAACGTTTCCCGTTCGCGAATGCGAGTCATCAGACGGCTTCATTCGGCTGCGTTGTCATATTTCTGTATCGGCGTTTCGCAAAAGTGTCGCACGCCTTCTGACAAAGCCACGGACGAAGCTCTGTGTCAATTTCAAGCTCCGATGTGAGAGCTTCGTCGGACGCGACGAAATTTATGCCTCGTCATATAACAGTATCGCCTATCAGCGTCACGTATCAACTCCCGTAACGTAACACAAATCTTGCCGCGTTCCGCGCCGCGTATGATACATCTCGCTGCGATTCGTCAGTGTCTGAAAACCCTTGTGAATTACAACCGACTCCGGCGAGCAAATCGAATCTTTATCGAACGTCGTCCGACCAAGTTGCCGTTCCATCACTAGCTAGCTGCCGAGCAAACATATCGATTCTCGATAACGAGACAACGATCGCGGCGGACGTTGCACGAGCGTGAAAGACGTTGCACGTGCGTGGCAATTATCACACGGAATTCTATGAAAACCGAGCCGACGCACGAATAGTTTAACGCGACGTCGCCGGTTAAATCGAATTTCCGGAAAAGCCCGGCCGAAAATACGAGACGTTCGACGAGGAAAGAACGGGAGAGATCCGACGATCGGCAGGGGGGGAAGGAGCCGGTCGAAGGTGATCGGCGCGTTGTCCGCCGCGTTCGGCGAATTCCTACACGCCCGGGCTGCTCGCTGTAAATGTATTGTCCGCGGGACAATGCGGCGGCTGATTGCGAAGCGGTCGGGCGAAAACTTGACCCGAAAATAAACCGAATCGCTCAAACGGCGCTGTCGGCCGCTGCCAAATGCAGCCACTCGGAATAGTGGAGAACAGGAGAGGCCTGCTACCGACCCTCCTTTTCAAACTTGCTATTTTTCCGGCTTCCAGGGACGGAGAGAGCCTTCTCTCTCGTTCGTTCGTTCGTTCGTTCGTCGTTCGTCAAAAGTACCGACGCGGCGCGATACCGCACGGAAATCGCTGGCGGGGGGGGGGGGGGGGG